GATGACTTACGGATCTGAGACGTGGTCCTTCACGTGCTGGCTTCCTCAAAGCTCAAGGTTGCTCAGCGAGCCATGGAGAGCTCGCAGTTTCTCTGCGTGATAAACTTAGAAATGAGTATATCTGCAGTAGAACCAGAGTAACCGACATAGCCCAACGGATTAGTAAGCTGAAGTGGCAGTGGACCGGCCATATAGCTTGAAGAACCGACAACCGATGGGGAAGAAAGGTTCTTGAGTGGCAGCCTAGTACCGGTAGGCGAAGTTTAGGGCGACCCCCCACGAGATGGAGTGACGACCTGGTAAGACATGCAGGAAGTCGTTGGATGCAGGTGGCTCAGGACCGTGCTTAGTGGCAATCCTTGGGGGAGGCCTTTGTTCAGCAGTGGACTTATGAAAGGCTGAATTGATGAATGATGATGATGAATTTAAAAAAGGAGTAATAAAGTTATACCAATGCGACAGGCAGTTTAATATCATAGAACCCGAAAGTGGAATAATTTTTGAGTATCTTCGGTTTAGTTTATGATAGTACGTCAGTGAGAATCTGCATAAGACACAGACATAAGGGAAAAAAATACTAAAACGGCTTGTTCGGTATTTCTATTTTCGCAGGGAAACTTAAATATTAAATGACAAAATTTGATCTGGAATAGAAATAAAATTACAGCTAAGAACACTTAGCTACTGCGAAACCACAAAATCTTGAAATCGAATACGGGATCGCAGGGGATTTAGAATACTTTTATATTAGAATAGATTTTTATTATTGGCTCCCGTTGCACGTTTGCACTCCACTTCGATCGTGTTAAATGTCTTTACTTTTTTCAAAAGTCTTGTAAAACGTATTACTTGGGAGTTTACAATATCTAAATTACTTAACATTTTCATTTTTATACTTTGACCGCTATTATTTGTACCTATAAACGTTTATGGGTATTGTACGATATTTTACTAGGTTTGGTGACTTACCGCTACAATCTCGCTACAACTACAGACTCTGGTTCTATTACGGATATCCTCATTTCTAATTTTATCACGCAGAGAAACCCCTCTCCAATTTAATTTTTTTACATTTTTCAGATGATGGTTTGTATAACATTTATAAAAAAGACATAAACCCAAAAATGTCTTTATGTAGCACTTGAGGAAGCACAATTTCTTTATTAAAATTGTTTGATTTAATTTAATAATAGTCTACCTAAATATGAATATGTGTGTCTAGATTTTTCTCGCCAATAATGTTCTATTAAAGTCATACTTATAAAAACGGCATTTTATTATAATACATAATTAAATAGTTCACCTACTTAATAAAAATATGCAACAATAAAATTACATAGGCATTAAAACTATCAAATCTAAGTAACAAGAGAATATTGGTCGTTCCACATCTAAATTATATAAAAATGCATTTTTAATTTCAATAATCGACACTTCACAAATTTCTTTCTCTTTTGGGCACTTTAAAAATTTATTTATTTAGAAAACAATATTTCCAGTTACCAATGTACAGATATTAACTAAATTAAGTATTTCTATACATAAAAAATATTTATAATTGAGTAAAAAGTCTTAAAAAACTAAAATATATTTGAACGAAGTCGCTCCAACACCGACGCGCGATTCACCCTCGACGATGTCCGAAAACGGGCTGTGACAGAGCTCGCGGGGGATTACAGGGCGACAGAGCAGGCATGTTCTCGCGAATATATTCAATTTTGGGGAAAATTTTTTTTTTCATTTATTTTGGCAACAAACAGTCATATTTCTTAATATATAGTTTACATTTTACATTAACACTTTAAAAAAAGGACCAAGTAGTGCCAATAAATATACATTAATAAACCATATTATTTACATTGTGAGACAACATAGTCGGGCAACAAATTTTACTGCAAAAACTTTTTTTAATTTGTTTTAAGAAGATCTGAACTAGTGCTAAAAAGATCTATTTCTGAAAAATGTTTGTTATACATGTTGGTGGAACGACATATATAAGAGTTACGTATATAGTTTTTATGAAACCGTGGAGGAATGAATAGTGGTAACGAACGTGAGGAGCGCACTGGAAGACGAACGCTTGCTGGAAATGGAAACATAGACAAAAGAGTCGGTGAATCTATTAATGAATTTAGGATTTTATATAGAAAAATAATGTCAAACATTTTACGTCTGTTAAAAAGACTCAGCATTTTGTGTCTGCACAAAGCTTCATTATATGATTCGTTCTCAATACAGCAACGATAGTTAAGGGATTTCAAAAACTTTTTTTGTACTTTTTCTATCCTCTCAATATGTATTTGATAAGAGGGGCTCCATACCGTGCTGCAAAAATCAAGGATCGAACGTACAAAAGAAAAGTATAACAGTTTGAGAGTAATACCCTTATTAAATGGTTTTGTTATTCTTAAAATAAAACTCAAACTTCGAAAAGCTTTACTTATAATATGGTCTATATGAGAGTTAAAAGACAATTTAGAGTCTACGATTAGGCCAAGATCTCTTGTTGTAGTAACCCTTTTAAGAATGGTGCCATTCAGACAATATTCAAAATTTATTTGGTTGACTTTACGTGAAAAAGATAGCACATGACATTTGTCAGTATTAAGATATAATTGATTAGTAAGACAATATTTTTCTAAAGCAAGCAAATCTTGTTGCAGTTTGAGACAGTCCTCTCTTGACTTAACAATTTTATATATTTTGGCATCATCAGCGTAAAGAAGATGTTGACTCTCATTTAATGTTTGTCCAATATCGTTAATATATAAGGAAAACAGGAGCGGGCCAAGATGAGATCCTTGAGGAACACCTGAAGGTACGGGTAGAAATTTCGAGGTGAATCCCTTAATACATACAGCTTGACTTCTATTTTTTATGTATGATTCAATCCATCTAAGAAGGTTGCCATGTACACCTGCCTTTGCGAGCTTTGCTATTAGTAAGCTATGGTTAATTTTGTCAAAGGCTTTAGAGAAATCAGTGTACACGACATCCACTTGTAGATTGTCATCCATGGCTCTTCGCAAATATTCCGTGAAAGTTATCATATTCGTATCAACACTTCTGCCCTTAAAAAATCCATGTTGGTGTTGGGATATATATTGACGAGCAGAGAGCGATAAGTAAGTAGTAATAATTTTCTCAAGGACCTTCCCCAAGACACATAATTTCGAGATAGGTCTATACTCGGTTACTATATCTTTGTTATTATTTTTTGGAATAGGAGTTATTAAAGAGTATTTCCATATGTTGGGGAACACTCCACTTTTGACAGATGTGCGGAAAATTAATGTTACCGGCACTGCGAGTTCATTTGCACATTTCGAAATAAGAAGAGGATGAATAAAATCTGAACCCGCGCCTTTATTGATATTAACTTTTTGTAATTCTTTAAGAACTAAGTCAAAGCTTTGTCATTTAAGTTTATATCTAAAGTTGTATGTGAACTTTGATTACTCGGGTAATCTTGGTGACTAAAATTGCTGACGGTTGTAAATACGGAATGGAAATATTCATTGCAGGCATTACAAATATCTATACCACCAGAAATAACTTTACCTTTGTACAACATCTTTTCAGGAAAATCGCCCGTGGTATTTTTCGATTTTATAAAAGACCATAAAAACTTAGGATGTGTTTTTATTTTATTTTCGGAAAGTTCTATAACATTTTTATAACCATCACGCTGCATTTTTTTAAATCTGCTTCTCAATAATGAAAATGTTTGATAGTCACTCATGTTGCCGTATACCTTCCATTTTTTATGGTATTTACATTTTTCTTTCGATAACTTAACAAGGGGCTTAGTATACCACACTGGGTATTTTAAATTACAATTGAATTTACTAACGGGAACATATTTATTCAAAATATCATTCAAAGAATTATAAAAGTAGTTTGTTATGCATTCCACATCGGTCATATAACTAAATTTTTCATCCCAGTTAATAGATTTTAAGGCCTTTTTTATAGATACGAAGTCGGCTTTGTGATACTGTTTTTTTTGTACCTCTGCATGGGTTGAGTGTAGGAGCAAAGCTTAGTTTAAAATCAATTTCTAATGCCTTATGATGAGGATCCTCTGTAACAAGTGAAAGTTTGCAAGATGATACTTGACAAGTTTTATTACTAAAAACTAAATCTAAAAGCCTGCCGTTTACGTTAAGTTGATTATTGTGTTGCGATAATAAGGATAAACTCATAAAGTCAGCTGTAAGACAAGCTAAGCTATTGTTATTTGTATGTATATCTAGGGAATTAGTACATGTATTATAAGACCAATGAGCATAACTTATGTTGAAGTCGCCGAGTACGAGAAATACATCATCAGAATTACGAATTATAAAGTCACTAACTCTATCGTAAAAACAACTCAATAACAATTCGTGATTATTACCGTGCGCAATATACGTTGATATTATATGCAAGAAGCGAGATGCGTTATGGGAGCGAGGAGTTAAGGTGGTGGGACAAGAGTGAATGTGAAGCGGCACCGTCACCCATACTTCTTCAGCGGGCGGTGGCGCGCGCACGTCAGTTCGGTGCGTTGCGCAAAGATCGCGGCGCACCGCTATTATTACTCCACCTCCGCGCCCGTGTCCGCTAGCAGTTAAGTTACGATCGCATCGATATATCTCGTACCGGCTATCAAAAAACTCACAGTTATGAAAATTATCATTAAGCCAAGACTCTGTTACACATATTACATCATAGTTATTACAAAGAACAGCTTCTAAAAAAGAGTGCGATTTAGTGCGTAGTCCCCTCACGTTTTGATAGTAAATAGAAAGGTTAATGTTATCGTATTTTATAGTATAGTATTTTTATTATGATACCTATTAGAGTTCCACCAAAACAAAAAGTATGCAGCAATAAATACAAACACTTAGGACTAATAACAAAAGTTCTTTTTTTTTTCTCATACTCACAAACCTTAAACTATTTTTAAAGGGATAATAACATAATAAAAGTGGGGCAATAGATGGAAAGAAATGCAGTCATTTTATTTTCATAAGATCAGCTTGGCAAGATACTAGTAAGGCTTTAGAAGTGTCGTTTTTACGTACCATAATCTTACATCCGGACAACCAAATATACTTGTAATTATTTTCTTTGACGAGAAGCCGAGCTTGCTTATATAAAAGTTTATTATCTGGTGTTAAGTGATCACTTATGAAGATTGGTTTAGATGGGCCGTCCAATCCAGCATCAGCGGTGGTGAAACCTCTCCGGGCGCGCACAGCAGCAAGCATTTCTCTCTTACGTTGTCTTTGCGTGAACCTCACGATGATATTGGGTATTGAAGATAAATCGCGTGAGGGTTGACCATTGTACGAAGTTGCGTCCTTTTTGTTTTTCGGAATAAAACGCTGCACACGGTGTATGCTATCAATATCCGTCGAAGCTAAAGAAAACCCAATATTATTTGCTATTTTATGGACAATACTCATCAGATTTTCTCCTTTCACGGTAGGTATCCCAGATAATTCCTACTTACTTATCTTCACGCACAATCCCTGACGGGGTAGCCAGAGAGAACAGATCGCCAAGTGTCACGATCCTTACATATCTCTTTCGCTTCTTTCAGATTCATTATCTTCTTCATACATGCACGTCTAGGTATCCGAGTACTCTTGACCCTACCCTCTTCGAGCAATTTGCTCACATGGTCTTCGAAAGTTAGTCTCGGTCTACCTCGACACCTTTTAATATTAACTTTCGCGCTATATATTTTCTTCACCATTCGGTCTTCACTCATTCGCTCAACGTGCCCAAACCAAATGTTAAAAATTAAAAAATATTCCAGATAATTCCAAGTTATTTATTCTTCCCTGCTGCTCCTTAAAGCGAAGTTGTTGAGAAAGATGATTAATAATTGATCGTGATTCTTCAGCATCATTCATGATTGATTTTTTCTTGTGATTATTAATATTATTATTTGATATCAACTGGTCAACTTCTTTTTTGATTGACGATTGCTCCTCCGATAGTTTTTGAATAGTGACGTTTATCTCACGTATTTCTTGTCTAAATATAAATAGGTCATCGCGTAATGCATTTAAAGTGCTATTTATTTTTTCGTTTTGGGTTTCAAGAACAGACTGAAAAGAACTCATTATTTAATTTTGAAAGTCAGACAGTATTTCTTGATAATTACAGTGACAATCTGGTGATTTTCGTTTCCTTTGCACAATATTAGTAGGAACATCATCGTGTATTTTGGATAAATCTGGATGTGTTGAGGAACATCCACTTGGCGGCGTTCTTGAAACACTCATTTTTTCCCCCGGTAAATGAAAGAAGGTAAAAATATAATGACGCGACAGAAAAATGATGCACAGACGATAGTTATATTATTATTCACTATCCCCTTTACACAGATTAAGTTATTGCACTAGAGACAAGGACGAGAACAATTTTTGGCTACGATTGGCGCTTGACGTATGCCACACTCAAACACATTAATTACAATTACTTTGAGGCAATTACAGCGGAATTGTACGTAACATAAAGCGCAAAATGCTTTGTAGTTATTTATAGGAAAAATAGCGAAACTTAACAAGCGTCCGACTATGCAAGAGCGCACTTATAGACTGAAATTGATAATTTCTCGAGGAAAACGGGGAATAAATTTAAACTCTGAATTCAAAATATTGGTATTTTTAAGACCCTTTTTTTAGTGTAAAACTATTTAAAGAGCTTGTGCCATTTTGGAGAAATTTTGCAAAATATGACAAAGATAACCCTTTGGGGATAAATTTTCTAATAAGGGGTTGACATAAATACAATTTTGTTAAATTAAAACCTTTTATTTAATCCTCTTCTGTGAACTTTTATTATTTCTTTGCGGATTAGATAAACAGTTATAGTTCAATAATTTAGGCATTTCACCCGCTCTTAGGGCCTTAGTATATAGGTAGATATATTTAGTCTCAGCATATGATTTACTCGTAGCACTTACCAAAATTGTTAATTGCTACCAAAGTGTCAGTCAACTAGGTTATATTTCAGTCAATTTATGATATGTGGTCTTTGCTATATAGACTTGCCTAGTACGATGAATACAGGGTCTTTTTTTTTCATGAAAAAATGCTTACGCATACCCCTTTCGCGGGGGCAAGTACGAGTTATGTCGGACTCGCACCGACTAAAACCCCATGGTGTTCAAACCCTTCGTCGCATATTGGCTGGGCCACGGGAACGCTTTCGCACAGATCCGCGGCCCCACCAGTGCCGGCCACCCTATGGAAACCCCTCCTTGGGGAGGACTTCTCCTCCCCTCTTCCTTCTCAGATGAGGTGCACCAGGAGTACAAGGCGCGCCTTGCTCCACTGCCTTTTGCTGCAACTGCGAAGCGGACTCGCCCGAGTCCGATACGCGGAGGCCATGGGACCAGGAAAAGCAAGTGGCGCATCATCATAACAATACTCCTCATCCTCCGCGACTCCACCTTGGCTGCAGCGGTAGGAGGAGAGGACACCCCTATCGTCGCAGCCCACCAACACACATCCGAAGTGGGCTCGCCAAGCTCACTCGGAGTGGCACCTCGGGCGGGCCCTACACCACGGGCTATGCCATGTGGGTTCCTCTTTGCTCACTGCGGGTGACCAAGCCACGGCTACTAAGACCTCCCCCCCCCACACAGGCAAACAAAAAGGTAAAATAAGTATTTAAATCAATAAATTTCATTTAATAGTTTAGGAGAAATACTCATTTATTAAAAATTAACTATGAAATTCTAAATTATTAATAGAAATAAAACATTAACAAAATATAGATCTTCGTACCAAAAACTTTACACAATGTCTTTTTTCCTTGGCTTTAATAGCCAATTCCATTACGATTAGTACGAAAAATGTTAGAAAAAAGCCGCAGGCTATTGGTGGAATATATCTCGTATAATATTTCAAAAGTTAAGTGCGCAGACAACCCTATATATTTTAACTAGCAAGCAGACTTTTTTCTGCAGAGTAATATGAAAAGATTGGAAGTCGTTAAGATTGATGATGTTGTCTTATGAAGCTACAGCCGGAAATGAAACATAAGATGGGAAGTAAAATCTTGTTGATAAAACGCAAAATAATAAAAGACTGTGGATTCTAATTCACTTAAGGGACATCTACGGGGGAGGTCTGTTGTTAGCAGTGGACTATTAATAGGCTGTAATGAATTAATTAAAATACTTGCTTAGACCAACAAAATGAGAAGGTAATTTAATTATAAGTTTTCTAGTGTTTTGTAGTAGTAGTAGTAGTAATATAAGATATTTAGCTGTTGCTTAATTTGAACCTTCTTCTTCTGAGATTTGAACTTAATATTTAAACTATAACTTTTATGCTGTATTTTAAGTTCATATTTTCAGAGTACTTAATAAATATATTCTCAAAATAATTTAAATAAAAGAACGCTACCCAGTTACAAACCCTGCTTTCTATCAGGACCCAATTACATAATAACACCAAAGTATGCAAACCAACAGCATCACTACCAATCTCAATGTAACACAGGGCAGCCTCTCAGCAATACGACTAGTAGAATACTCCAACGGGCATAGTAACGACAGTGGTACTCTTAGAATTACAGACTGACTGATCTCTCTTAGTCGACTGCGTGATACTGTATACTGCTAAAACAAGTGGGAGATTATAGTTCTACCTTCAATATTTCTTAATTTCTTTTATTATTTTACCCGCATTCCTAACACGGTCTTTCCTGACAATTCACACGTCCCCGTGTGAAGCCTAGAGTAACGTTACCGGTTTTAATGTAACTTTACCGTCTCGGCCTTTTCTGACCATGAAAAACATACTAAGTTTTTGCAGAATTGAAAACATGGTTCAAATCAGATTTTAGTATACAACTACAAACTAGAGCTTAACACACGCACACTGCACAGATTGCACTATACACTGAAGGCCCAGGGCACCCAGCTAAACGCACTCCAGCAAGCGGTTCCGCTGCGTTCAGCACTCGTGCAGCACGTGCGCCAGCGGGCAGTCGCGTAGCACTCTTAGCAGCGAGCTGTCTTGGAGTACTCGCACTAGCGAGCTGTCTCGGCGCACTCGCACTAGTGAGCTGTCTCGGCGCACCAGCGCCAGCAAGACGCTGCGCCTCGTCACGTACTCGAAGTGTCAACGGGAGCAGCACCTGAGATCTCACATGCATAGTCGGGGTTGTAGTGCATCATGGTCTGCGTGAAAAACAAGTTGTTAATTATCAAGACAACATACACCGTTGCCTATTCTCTCACACATCACGCATACGAGGGCCTTAAACAGAAATACGCTCTCATACCACAGACTACAATAAAGATCTTCGCTGTCACAAGTATGCATACATCTAAATACGAAGTATCTCGTGCATACTCGTTTTTTTTTATAGGAGAGGGGGCAAACGAGCATGCGGCTCCTGACCTGATGGTAAGTGACTACCGCCGCCCATGAACAACTGCAACACCAGGGAGGGAATTGCAGATGCGTTGCCGGCCTTTTAAAAAGGAGTACGCTCTTTTCTTGAAGGTCCCTAAGTCGTATCGGTCCGGAAAAATCGCTGATGGTAATCGATTCCACAAGGAAGTCGTGCGGGGAATAAAACATCTTTTAAATCGCACAGTGGTGGACCGCCAATCATCCAGATGGTGTGGATGGTATCGGGAGTTCTGCCGCGATGTGCGTTCGTGAAATTTGGCGGCTGGGATTAATCCGAACAATTCCTCAGAGCACTCCCCATGGTAGATGCGAAAGAAAATGCAAAGGGATGCAACATCTCTTCGCAGTGCCAATGAATCGAGCCGATCGGACAGGGCTCGGTCGTCGACGATTCGAGCCGCTCTGCGCTGGATGCGGTCAAGTGGAAGGAGCTGGCACTGGGGAGCCACTGCCCAGAGATGGGAACAGTATTCCATGTGAGGCCGAACCTGCGCCTTGTAAAGTTGCAGGCGGTGTGCCGGCATGAAATACTGTCCCGCTCTGCTGAGCACGCCAAGCTTTTTAGAGGCCAATTTGGCCTTGTCTTCCAAGTGACCACGAAACTGCACGTCACTCGATATGTCGACTCCGAGGATACCGATACTGGCTGAGGCAAGAAGGGAAGTGCCTTGAAACTGAGGAGATACGACAAAGGGGTTCTTTTTAGCGGTAAACGCGCAAACTTGTGTCTTCTGAGGATTAAACTGGACTAGATTTAGTCGCCCCCAATCCGAGACTTTGTTCAGCAAAGACTCGACTTCAGACACAAGTTTGTTCCGGTACTCGGCGACGTTTTCCCGAGAAATATTGGCACGGCCGGTGTATAGAGCATCACCAGTGCTGTCATCCGCATAGCAATGAATGTTACCAGTTAGAAACATATCATTGATATGCAGAAGAAACAGCGTTGGTGATAGCACACAGCCTTGTGGAACACCAGCGTTAATAGGCTAGTAGTCAGAACATGCACCGTCTACAACGACCTTGATGCTCCGATCTGCAAGGAAGCTGGTGATCCAATTACACAATTTCTCGGGAAGCCCATAGGAAGGGAGCTTCGAAAGAAGCGCTTTGTGCCAAACCCGATCGAAGGCCTTCGCAATGTCCTGACTAACGGCCAACGCCTCCTCCTTGGACTCTACTGCCTCCGCCCATCTATGGGTCAGGTAGATCAGAAGATCACCAGCTGATCGACCCCGACGGAAACCGTATTGGCGGTCACTAATCAGCTGGTGATCCTCAAGGTACCGGATGAGCTGGCAGTTAATAATGGATTCCATTATTTTGGAGAACAAGGAGGTGATCGCGATAGGCCTATTGTTGGACGGGTCTGAGCGGTCGCCTTTTTTAGGGATCGGGTGGACAAAAGCTGTCTTCCATGAATTCGGGACTACGCCTTGGAAGTAGGAGTACCGGAAAAGACGCGTTAGGACCGGTGCCAACTCCGGAGCACACGTCCTCAGCACAATTGGGGGGATTCCGTCAGGCCCACTCGACTTCTGGATGTCCAGGGAGAGAAGTGCTTTGCGAACCAAGCGCTGTGAGAACAGCACATCCGGCATGGAGCACTCACACCGCGGGATGGTCGGCGGTGTTTTCCCCCCGTCATCAAGAGTCGAGTTGGATGCAAAAAGGGAGCCTAAAAGGTCAGCTTTGTCCTTTGCGTCTTGGGCCAGTGAGTCGTCCACCCTTTGCAGAGATGGTAGTGATGGCTTACAGAAATTCCCTTGGACAGCCTTGGTGAGAGACCAGAACGCACGGGTTCCCGAAGGAAGGCGAACTAGTTTATCGCCAATTCTGCCTATGTGCTCTGACTTTGCCTTGGCAATAACCCTTTTGAAGGACCTGGAGGCGAAGTTATACTTCTTTTTAAGTGAGCTGGTGTTTACATCCCGAGTCGCCGAAGCCGCAGCCCAGGCTTGATAACACTCCTGCTTACTGCGCAATGCAGTCTTACAGGAGCGACCAAACCAAGGCTGAGATCTGCCTCCGTTGGGTACCACAGATGATGGAATAAATAGTTCCATTCCCTGTAGCACCACATCAGTGACAGAGTCAGCAACAGCGCTGGGATCATCCGGCGAGAAGCAAACCCGCCCCCATGGGTAGGATGCAAAGAAAGACCGCATTCCATCCCAATCCGCCGACCTGTAATGCCAAACACGGCGGCAACCTGCAGAACGCAACCGCGGAGGGAGCGTGAGTGGCACCACACTCCGGATCAGACAATGGTCCGAAGAGCCGAGAGGGGCATCAACGGAAACCTGATATCCGTCCGGATGAGAGGTCAGCAGAAGGTCCAACAGGGAAGGTGTGTGATCCTCCACATCTGGAATCCGCGTAGGCGAAGTAACCAGTTGTGTCAGACCATATGCCAAGGCAAAGTCATAAACAGATCTCCCCGCATGATCGGTTAAACGTGAACCGAGCCATTCGGCATGGTGGGCGTTAAAATCGCCAAGGATCACAATCTCTGCGGATGGGACCTGTTGTAGCAAGGAATCTGTAGCCATTAGGACGTGGTCGATGAGTCGGTCTGTTTCGGCATTTCCGCTATGGGACCTATAGAGGCACCCGTAGACGCGCGGATGGTCGTCGCTGTCTACGCGTAACCAAAGGATGGACAGGTCCGAACCTTCAAGAAGGCCGAGGCGTCGAGAACAGATGTCCTCTCTGACATACACGCAAACTCCAGCCCGAGGCACAAAGGAGTGCTCCAGTTTGTACCCCGGATAGGAGAGATACGAAATATCAGCCGGAGAGGAAAACTGCGTCTCGGTCAGAAAGAGCAAGGACGGCTTCGCCGTCTCGAGATGGTAGTGGACGGCGTTTAGGTTAGAGTGAAGTCCCCTGATGTTGCAGAAATTCACGGATAGCGTGGCAGGGGTCGCCTAGGTATTGTTGCTCAGTTTGCCCCGAGCAGTTATGTTTTTGAGCGGAACAAGTTCCCACGTTAAAGACGTGAACCAGGACAGCGCGTGATGCATGTTCAGGAAACATGATTTCCGCGCACATAGCGCCGCGTACACAGCGCCGCGCACATAGCGCCACGCACACAGCGCCGCGCACACAGCGCCGCGCACACAGCGCCACGCACACAGCGCCGCGCACACAGCGCCGCGCACACTGCGCCCCAGGACAGCGCCTGATGCATGTTCAAAAAAACACGACTTCCGCGCACCCAGCGCTCACGCACACAGCGCCGCGCACACCACGCCTCAGGTCAGCGCCTGATGCATGTTCAGAGAACACGACTTCAGCGCACACAGCGCCCCAGGACAGCGCTTGCCAGGACAGCGTCTGATGCATGTCCACAAAACAAGATTTCGGCAGCACCGCCATGTACAGCATACGCGCGCTCCCGGACGGCACCGGCCACCCGTGCAGCACACGCGTCCGCCGAAACCAGGCCATGTAACAGCTGGACCCAGCAGTCCAGCTCCAACGAGCAAGGCACACACGCCTCACACTCGCGCATATGTAATCACATCACACGTGCTACTGTAACACACAAAAGAAAACGTATTAAAAAGATTCAGTCGGAACATACTTTAAAAAAAAATGCAGCACAACTCTCGGGACACCGTTCGCCTCTCCAGGGCACCATATACTGAGCTGCGGCCTGCGTAGTCTTGCGTCTAACTCCAGATAATAACTTCAGCTTTATGTAATGCTCTAATATGCAACGCAATCATTTTCATTTGGTCAAGTATTATCTTTAAGATAATATTCCAGTGCCTTGTACGGTATAATCTGAAATCATATTATCATTTTTACATTTGATAGTCAATTTATTTGGTTTAGACTGAACATAAATGAATCTTCCATCACTAAGTTTTGCCATAAATTAACATTGCTATAATTACATAATATATATTATTTTCGAATCGCATATTTCTGGAAGTGACAAAATTACTTCAGTCAAGATTTAAGTTTCACAGGTCGCATTATTTGTGGACAAAACAGAAGGTGGCAAACATATCATAAACTTATTATTAACGTTTTTACATTCATTGGATAAAACTACTTTTTTACGGATTTTATCGCGTTTAGTTAACATATTTTATATTCCCGACGTTTCTAAATTAATTAAACGCGATAAAATCCGTAAAAAAGTAGTTTTATTCAATATGTAGTGTTCGCGTAAATATAAGAAATCTTTATGTTTTTACATTCACTTAAGCTATCAAATAATGCGTAATTTAATCGTTTATCCGTAAGGGCTACATACAGCTTAGAAGGATGAATAAGAAAATATGTTTGTAAATTACGCTTATCATATTATGTAGGTAATAGTAAAATCTTATAAACACTAAACTTAATAGGATTCATTAAAGGAATTCTTATAACAAATACTATATTATTATTATAGTAATACGAAGTTAATTCAGCTAGATCAATAATTGTATGTATATTCTCTAATGATAAGGAAATGGGAAATTCTACATTAGTTTTGCTCATTTTGCTATTAGAAAGCTCTTTAAATAACTTAGTAGAACTTTAGACACAGGGATGGATGATATTTGATTTTGCAAATAATGTTTAAAATTGTGTTTAGCGTATTTGAAACCGATAGCAGTGAACCTTCAATCACATTAAAATGGAATTTATTTTTGATGAACTAATTAAGTCTGTAGTAGTTTTAGAATTTTCAGAAAATAAGTAATTTCAGTTTTTAAATGTGTTTCATCATCATTCATCATTACAGCCCTTCACAAGTCCACTGCTGAACATAGGCCTCCCCCAAAGAATGCCACAAAGCACGGTCCTGAGCCACCTGCATCCATCGACTTCCTGCATGTCTTACCAGGTAGTCACTCCATCTCGTGGGGGGACGCCCTACACTTCGCCTACCGGTACGAGGCTGCCACTCGAGAACCTTTCTTCCCCATCGGTTGTAGGTTCTTCGAGCTATATGGCCAGCCCACTGCCACTTCAGCTTACTAATCCGTTGGGCTATGTCGGTTACTCTGGTTCTACTGCGGATATCCTCATTCCTAAGTTTATCACGCAGAGAAACTCCGAGCATAGCCCTCTCCATAGCTCGCTGAGCGACCTTGAGCTTCCTCATACGGCCAGCAGTGAAGGACCACGTCTCAGTTCCATAAGTCATCACTGGCAACACGCACTGGTTGTACAATTTCGTTTTCAGGTTTTGAGGTATGTCTGACGAGAAGATGTGTCGTAGCTTCCCGAACGCTGCCCAGCCGAGTTGAATCCGTCGATTGACCTCTCGGTCGAAGTTGGACTTACCTAGTCGGACTATTTGTCCCAGGTAAACATACTCGTCAACAACTTCGAGCTTAGTGCTCCCAACAACTACCGGCATAGGTGTGACATGGACATTGAACATGATCTTTGTTTTGTCCATGTTCATCTTAAGACCTATCCGTTGGGAAACACTATCGAGGTCCTTGAGCATAGTGCTTAGGTCCTCCAGCGATTCTGCCATAAGGACTATATCGTCGGCAAATTGAAGGTGAGTGATGTACTCGCCATTGATGTTGATACCGTATCCTTTCCAGTCCAGAAGCTTGAAAACGTCTTCCAATGCAGCGGTGAAGAGTTTCGGGGATATGACGTCACCCTGTCTTACACCTCTCTGCAATTGGATAGGTTTCGTACTCTGGTTCTGTACTCGGATAGCCATCGTAGCCCTACTGTACAAGCACTTCAACACTTCGATATACCGACAGTCAACTTGGCACCGCTGAAGGGACTGCAGCACCGCCCAAATTTCGACGGAATCAAAGGCTTTCTCATAGTCCACATACGCCAGACATAGTGGCAAATTGTACTCTTCGGACTTCTGTACAATTTACCGAAGGGTATGTATGTGGTCTATGGTGCTAAAGCCCTTTCGGAAACCGGCTTGTTCGGGAGGCTGGAAGTCGTCAAGTCTGCGCGCGAGACGATTAGTAATGACTCTCGAAAACAGCACGTAGACGCGGCTCAGAAGGGAAATCAGTCTGTAGTTCTTCAAGAGAGCGTTGTCACCTTTCTTGAAGAACAAGACCACCGCACTTCTGCTCCACGCCTCCGGTGTAATGCCACCATGGAGGACGGAATTAAAGAGCTTCTGAAGGACTTCAAGTACCGGTCTTCCACCCGCTTTCAGAAACTCCGCTGTAATTCCATCCTCGCCTGGGGCCTTACCGTTTTTAAGGTGCTGGAGAGCCATTCTAATCTCGCTCAGACTGACGTCCGGGATATCTTCGGAATAGTGTCGGATGAGACACGCTCTTGGATCGTTACTCACACTTGCGTGTGGCTCCAACGATGACGTGTACAGCTGCCCATAGAACCTCTCAATCTCACTCAAAATCTCAGGTGTCCCGGAAACGATGCTGCCACATCCTGTCTTCAGCTTTGACAGGTGGCTCTTTCTGGCAGACAGATCTCTGGCAAAGACTTTGGAGCCTTGGTTCCGCTCGATCGCTTCTTCAATACGAGCTGTATTGAAGTTGCGTAAGTCCCGCCGCATGCATTTGGAGATCTGTCTGTTCAGATGCCTGTATGCTGTCAAGTCTGTTGAAGAATGTAGCTTCATCTCCCGTCTAACAGCCATGAGATTAAGAGTGTGATCGGAGAGTTTTTGTGTTCTTCTGCGGCGGGTCTTGCAGAACTTAGCTCCGACCGCATGGACAGTTTCCACGAGCTTGTCATTCATATCGTCCACTTCATTGCAGTCTTCTAGGCACTGAAAACGGTTTTGTAACTCGAGCTGAAAGGTTTCGGGACTTTGGAACAGAGCACGAGGGGGACGGAGCGTTGACTTCATTAGACGAGACCTCTCCAACTTAACGTATAGGTTCAGTGTGCCTCTAACCATTCGGTGATCGCTACCAGTTTTCACCCTCGCGATCACGGAGACATCACTGAACAGTTGTCGTCTGGTCGTCATAATGAAGTCAATCTCATTTTTTGTCGAACCGTCGGGGCTCGACCAGGTCCACTTCCTGTGGGGCCGCTTCTGGAAGAAAGAGTTCATCATAAAGAGTCCCTCTTTCTCCATGAAGTCGGCCAGCTGCTGGCCCCTTGGGTTCCGTTGCCCTATTCCAAATTTCCCTACTTTCAGCTCACCGTTCTCTCTTGTGCCTAGTTTTGCATTGAAGTCTCCCATTAACACCGTATATTGGGTTTTGGAGGAATGCATGGCTCTAGAGATATCCTCATACATTTCCTCCACCTCCCCATCGGGGTGTGCCCAGGTTGGTGCGTAAACCTGTATGACCTTCAGCGAATACCGTTTGGTGATTCTGAGTATAAGGTACGCAACCCTCGTCGACACACTCCCGATCTTTACAACGTTGTTAACGAGAGACTTGTGGACGATAAATGTGTTTATTTAGTCTTATTTCATTATTATTTAATTTACGGATGGAATCGTTAATTACTTCATAATTTACGCTGGTTTTATTTAGTTAATATGGAGTGGTATGTGTAAGATAAAATTGCAGTACAAAGATAACAGTGTCAATCGTCACAGTTGTCGTTTACAAGTAATTTTAAATATTCTTTAATGGTTGCTAATGAATGAGCCATTCGTTTGGGGATGGTATGAACTCGAGAAGATATTTTTAGTTTGAGAATGCTAATCAATTGCTTAAATAACTTTGAAGTAAAGCATGAATCTTGATCAGATAGAATAATTTTAGGAAACCCAAATAATGAAATAAAATTAATGAGAATACGCAAGAATTCATCAGTTGTCAGAGTAATTACTGGACAGACGCAAGAAAATTTGGTTATGTCATCCTAGAGCGTTAATATGTACTTAAATTTTTAAGACCCGCTTCGAATAGAAAACTGACAATATCTAGCGTTAGTCTTTCAAACGGCTTCGTGCTTGAGGACGGTATGACCATGGGTCCATGGGTGCCTTGTTACAAGTGCGCAACGGCTTATTAATTTGACATAGTTTATAATCTTTAACGAAGCGTTCTATATCTGCATGCATATTTTTCCAATAAAACAAAAATTTAATTCTACTATACATGCTTTTTATACCTGGGTGACCAGCTACGGTAGTCCCATGGTTTTCCTTTAAAATATTTGGAATCTCGGCTGGAGAAGGGTATTGTATTCGATTCTCGTATATGTGAACCTTAATTTCTGTACCATGGAAAATGTTAGATATAATATTGGAAATCAGATTATGCTATCTCAGTATCATAAATATCTTTAGAAATAATTTGGTCACTAAACTTACTTAATAAGTTATAAATTGTTGTATATCTTGTCTCATCATAATAATGAACTTTAGTGTAAAGAAAATAAAATGTTATATTGTTTGAGTCGACCGAGTGTATGGTTTCAGGTTCGCGTTCCGCTGATAAAACTCGGCAGTATTATTTATCATTGACAATAACTATTCACAGTTTGGCACAGAATAATCAAAGTCTAGAGGAACTGTACACGAAATTAAGTTTTGTTTTGCAGAATATAAACTTTAATTATGCTCCTCAATTTGTGTATCATTAGTAATTGATTTTGTAAATTGTTTGTTAGAAAATTATTCATTTGTAGACTTATTTAATTTAGAATTTGTAATAGCGTTTACTAGATTACGAAATATTGGATCCACATTTGAATTAATTGTACCTGGCTTGTGAAAGACTTCATAACCGTATTCCTCTTACTTTAATCGCCATCTAAGCAAACGTCCGCATGGATCTTTGGCCATTTAAGAGGGCAATGACCTGTGTCAATCTTAAATTTATACCCGTAAAGATATGGTGGAAAAGTGTTAATACCGAAGATTATTGCCAATAATTCCTTTTCTGTAGTCGAATAATTTCCTTCTTATTTATTTAAGGCGATAGGTTTATCCTTACCAATCTCGCCCTGAGACAAAACTGCGGTAACACAGCATAATTAGAAGCTTCGTTAGTTAGCATAAAAGGTTAAGAGAAGTCAGGGTATTGAAGTAAAGGAGCTGTAATTAACTTTCGTTTAAGTTTATTGAAATCATGTTCTTGCTCATGAGATCAGTGAAAGATTGTGTCCTTTTTAAGTAAAGAAGTAAGAGGTTTTGTGACATGAGAAAAGTTTTCTATGAAAGGACAATAGGTGTTAATCAAAAAAATGACTACATCTTTAGGAGACTTAGGTGTGGGAAACTTAGTAATAGAATTTACCTTATCAGGGTTAGGTTAAAAACCTTCATCTGTAATCACATGTCCAAGGTAAGTGACTTCTCCTCACAAGAACTCACATTTGTCAGACTGTATTTTTAAATTAACTTCTCTGAATTTGGAAAAGATTTGTTCAAGTGTTTTCACATACCAGACAAGATGATGAGAGTATACAAAACAGCCATTTGTATATATATATAAATGTATATATAAAAATGAAGACCTTATAGTCCAGAAACAACCGAATTCATCAGTTTTTGAAACGTCGATGGGGCGTTTTTGAGGCCAAAAGGCATACGTGTAAATTAAAAATGCCCAGAAACA